TGAGGTGGCTCGGTCATGTGAGACGTATTGATTCGACGCGGATACCGAAACAACTATTATATGGTCAGCTGAGTATTGGGAAGCGGCATGCAGGGAAACCAAAGTTACGTTACCAGGACATGATCAAGGTGAGCCTCTCACGTTTTAATCTTGATTGCAGGTCATGTGAATCGAAGGCGGTTGATCGGCGTGCATGGCGCGATCCGATCACGAAGGCGGTTTCCGAAGTGCGGGAGAAAGACCTCATACATGCAGAGAAGAAGCGGCAAGCGCCGATGGGTTGTACTCCATCGACATCGAGCGCATAGTGCTGTAGCACATACGATCGCGAGTGCCGGAGTCAGGCAGGCCTAGTGAGCCATGAGCGAGGCCACTCGCTACCACCACCAAAGCGACGACGGATCCTACAGAGAAGGTTAGCAGAACCGGCACAATGTTTGTAGGTACGCTGCATTCGATTTACTAACCGCGTGCTTGCATGCTAAGTCTCTGTTTCAGGTGGTGGGCTTTCAATTTTGCCCTAATGCTCTTGTATCTCATATTAATGTCTACCTGTACTATCTTTTATAAACTTGCACACGTCGCTGAAACTAATTTTAGTTAATTTCGATAACATTTTCGTGTTTGTGGCATTTCCTTAAAATATATTTTCTGACTTCTTTAACTTATTGTGGATTCGTTCGTAATCATTTTTATACACCCATTTAGTAAAGAATTATGTCTCCGTATTTCTTTGCATTATCCAATTTATTTTATTTCATCTTGTTGCTTGATATCCCCGGTTTGGCTACGCTTGATGTGCATGTTGACAAGGTGCCTACCTGTCTATTACCCAATACCTCGTCCATACTGGCTCCAGAAGACAGTTGGTTGTTGCTGGACGGGACGAGATGCACGGTCCTTGTGGCCGTGCTAGGCTCGAAGAGTGGTTTCATGCACTCAGTGTGGAGCGGACTACGGTCCAGCCACCGCCTTGTATATGTTTGATTCACTAGATACAGCGTGCTTGTGTTTGCCTGTGAAAGAGTGTGGGCCGGCTTTGTTGATGAAACGTGCCTCCCATCCACATGCCTCCCGGTCTTATTCCTTCGGGCTTACACTGCATATGGGGAGTGTGGTTCAGCGCAAGCCACCCATGGTCCCTCTGTAGGCGCAGGCGTCTTGTGGCTGGCCACAGTGATAGGCAAATCCGAAACCGGATGCCACCAACCCTATATATATATATATATATATATATATATATATATATATATATATATATATATATATATATATATATATATATATATATATATATATATATATATATATATATATATATATATATATATATATATATGGTTGGTGGTATATATATGTATGCTCTTTTATGGTAGTGACTGGTGACTATAGGGAGTCGATTCGCACTTTCCAACCCTGTCGACACTCATCAGACTGGCCAGATTTAGATTGTTCGACACACATTTGGAGTTCCGTCTCCTCAATTCTATTCACAAAACTGTGCGACTTATCAATTTCCATCGCCTCCGTAACCAACCTCTGGAGAGTTAGTCGCGAAGCCTTTCTAATAACCTGCAATTGGTATAATTCCTTACTTCGTGTCTGTTATTACGATTCTCGTTACTGTTCGCTATCAAATTCTGCTTCAATAGCATATTGGTCCACTGGCCCTGGTCTGTGGTTTCACCAGTATTGTTATCAACCACTGCATCTCTGCACGATTCCTCTAACTTCTCGAAGCACGTTTGGCCATTCCAACTGACGTTGTATATCATTCACTACGTAAGGCCACTAACACTGAACTCAAACAGCTCTTTTGGGAGGATTGCGAGGCATGGTGGACGCAGCGGGTCGTGGATATGGAGTAGGCGGCCAGCTCGGGGAGTTTCCGAAAGCTTTTTCGCCTGATCCGATCCATTGGCGGCAAAAGCCAACTGTAAACGAAGTTTTGTGCGAAACCATTTGGATGTTTTGTATTTTCCATTCTATTCACACAACTGTCCGATTTGGCATTTTCCAACGCTTCCGTAATCAACCTCTGGAGAGTTAACCACAATGCCTTGTTAATACCCTGCTATTTTTATAACTTCTTACTTTATGTCTGTTATCACGACTGTCGTTCCTGTTCGCTACAAAATTCTGCTACAATTGCATACTTCTTCACTGGCCTGACGATGGTTTTGTGTCAATAGCGAAGCGTTGCCCAACAAATACGCCAACGGATTGTTCTCCACCCCCCTCTGAACTCATGGCTTCTCGGTTAGCTCTAAGTATATCACTATTTTTGGCCTGCTTCCTTATGGCTGTCTTGTGCTCGATGATTCGTGTGGAACGTTGTCATCAGGTTTGCCCCATATAGTTTATTGTGTCGTAGGAAACGCAGTAAGCCCATCTGCGTCGGCGAGTCTTCAGATCTAACGAACTCCGCCGATCGATTGATAGCATTATCTCACTGCGGAGGCTTCGCTGGCTTGGCCATGTGCTTCGCATGCCTACCCAGGGGCTACCACGACGAGCCCTATTTGCGAGCACAAGCGTGGCTTGGAAGCGACGAAAAGGAGGGCAATATAAAACTTGGATCCAATGTGTTAAGGTGCAAACCTTGAAGCTGCCTGTTGTTGGGCGTTCCCGACTGCCGGGTTGGGGACCAAAGGACCCCAAGCACACCCTGTTGCAAACGCTGGAGGATATGGCCAAGGACCGTACGCAATGGCGCACTTGCTGTGAGACTCTTCTATTCTAATAGTTCTCTTCTCTTTCATGCTCTTTTTCTTCTTATGTGTTGGGGCACTCAGCCAACTATATTGTAATCGGTATATATATATATATATATATATATATATAAGCCCATCTGCAGAGGCCTTTGTAACACGCATGGCATACGCCTAACGAACGGAATAACAACGCTGCCGCACGGGACGCGCGTGCCATTATGCATTCCGTACAGTGTTGAACACACTCCGGTCACGTTTTTTGGAGGTCGACATTCGTCCAATCAGTTGCGGGTTTCAGGACACGCAGAATTGTTAGGGTAGGTATCCATTAGTGACGTACATATTCGTGGACTTCTTTCGGTCTCGAAATGAATCCTCTCAGAATTGCATTTGGTTTATGGGCTACTGTGATTCTGTGCTTTTGTAGAAATCTCGCCGTTAATTCAGAAACGTCCTAAGTGTGTGCAAGCAATGCCGGTTTATTTACATGTTCTTGCTGTTGTTGCGACTACTGTGGTGTTCTCTTCTTCAGGCTTCTGGCATCGTTTCTCCGACACCCTCTGGTTTGCACTCCTGGGCACAGTGGGTTTTTTTCTTTCCCCTCAGTTTCATTGTGTTGCAGTGTGCTTCCGCTCCATTTAGTAGACCTCGTACGTAGCTCTTTTTATGGTTCATCCGATGGTTGCTGTGGTGATTCACTATTTGCTCCGTGTGCGTCTTCTTCCGATACACACAAGTTTGAGGTGTTCTGTCGGTATTCCTCTAAACCTGTACATCTTTGAACGGTGATTAACTGTACTTTCCCAGTTCGATGGCGAACTTGATGTTCTTAGGCTGGCCCGTAGCCTTGCGGATCAAAAGCCTACCTTGTAATCCAAAGTCACGGGTTCTAGCCTACGTAGGGACTGTGAGACCCTCAGAGTATCCTTAGTCCGCGTGTGACTAGCGGTGGTTGCGCGACAGCGAAGCGTTGCTACCACGTACCGGCGTACTGTTGATGCGCCTTTTTTGACGTTCTCGGACTTGTTCTTGGCCAACCCGTGCATCGCAGTGACGTGAGAAGCAGTGGACAGCAAGTCGCATTATCTCCCACCTGGTTATGTAATCATGTGGGCCACCGATGTCCGCTGGGACCTGACATCCCTGCTTGTAAAACGCTGGGACACAATTTCGAACTCCTCACCGAGTCGGGGCACTTCACACTAGCAACCGTCCGGTCCCTTTTGTGGGCTTTTATGGCCACCTGCCCAAACCCATTTGTGATGAATATCATTAACCGATTTAAGCCTTTCAACTAGACTTCCGTATAGTTGATGAAACCAAAGCAACTATTCGTTGTCTTAAGGCATTGCGACGTTTTAATCCGGAAACCCTACTCATTGCACCAATAAAGAGTAACAAGATTTATCCGGTGACACCGATGTTGTCCACAGGGGTAGTCAGTAGGTTACTAGGTTAGTACTCCCCTCGTTCTCTCCGCATCCCTTTTGCGTCAGGTGAACCATTTATGGTTATGCTGATCCTCGTTGAACACCATTGTTGATAGTAGCGCTTCGTCGCCTACACTTGTAATGATCTTAATAAATTTTAATCAATTGACATTCGTTGTCGATATGACGGCAATTGTGCTTTCCCATCGTAGTGCTTAGCTCGCTGCGCCGGCAAGCCAATCAGATTTGTTTCGACGCCACTGTGACATAGGCTTGGGCATGAGCAGCTTGGTGGCATTTCGTCCACTCGCGACAGCCGATAAGTACGCGGCTGACGTAGGAAAGCCATGTGTTGTGCCCCACCCCAGCGTTTGCTTACTGTCTCAGACCACTTGTGCGTGTGTTTATATGAATCTGCATCTGAACGGGTGCGTATTGTGTTCCAAATCCATTGGGATGATTCAAATTAGTGCTGAGCACGCTGTTCCATTACTTGAAAGCTTACGCGCATGTGATTGCCTGATTAGTCGGCCGGCCTCTCCAACGCCAGCTCTCAACGCCTGCATACTAGACACTAAGTACCATTGATACATCCTGTATCGTATACTTGGTCTTCACTGTCCGAAAACTTCCACCTCTAGGACGACCTTGACACTCCACGAGCCACTATTCTGTGTTGCGGAATCATTCAGTGTTTGTAGCTGTTGCAAAAGTTCTGGCGTACCACAAATTCCTTATCTACCACCACGAAGTATACCGTTGAAATATCGATTCGTGGACATATCTGTGTCTGATGTGTTGCCGAGTCTAACGTTTGCTTTGTTTTATAGATTTCACTGTTTCTGTTCTCTTCTAGCACACGGCGTTCCTCATCTGGCAGAACAAATCCTCACACAATTAGACGCGTTAAGTTTACTATCCGTTGAATTGGTTTCCCGTGGATGGCAATGGAGCGTTGCGAAATATCAGCTGTGGCGCCGCTTGATCGTTCGCCGTATTGGGACCGACGCTGTATGGCATGGCCTCGCCGAACGTCGCAGATGGCTACAACTAGTTTACCTAACAGATCCAGATCAACTTCCCGCAGCACTCGAACAGCGACGCATCTCATTGGGACTGCGCCAAAAGATGTCTGATCTTCCTCTCTTCAGTGGCCCGTTCGCTTGCCACGCAGTCTCCAAGCCTTGTGTAGAGGATACAAAGTCCCAACACCAAGACCCTTGTTGTCATTGTCACGGAGATGGAGATGGAAACAATCCCATCACAAATCACATTCGATGCACCCCTCAGTCCCGTGATGTCACTGTGGCTTCTGTCCATGTTGCACCTTACACCGCAAACCGTTGCCGCGAAGTCTCACTGGACTCACCGATTTCTGCTGCTCCATCCAGCCCTGCGCCCATCGGCACTTCAGAGACGCCTAACGGTCGTTCCCGTGTGAACCACTCGTTCACACTGGAGACAGATCGCGACGACGCCTCCTTCGACGCCATCATGTTTGCCCATAGATTTTACAAACAGTTATATCCTCGTATCATCAAAGAAATCAAGGTACGTTCCATAAAACTCCCCGGTGGACAACTCTTGTGTACTCAATACTCTACCCATTCGCAGCGTCATAGGTTGACCGGTGGTGTAACTCTAGGAAGCCGCTGCTCGATAAGGCCACCCTATCCCTTCCAATCAGTGGGAGGCAAACTGCGCTGTATCCTAATTAGTGACCCAGTTACGTCGGTTGTTGCAGTCCTCTGTTGCCCGATTGTCTTGATCACTGACTCGTAAGAGTCGGGTTGCGGGTTTTAACCCTACATAGAGTTGGTGAAGGCCACACTGCAGAAAAGTCCCCAGAAGCGTAGACGGACTTCTAGTATCCATCCGGACGTCTGATGACAGTCTGACTGAATTAAGTTAAGAGATATCCAAAATTATATATCCAAATTATATCACGCCCTTTTTACCCCATTATCACTCTGGCGTCTTCTGAAAGGCCTTATTTTGTCTGCGCATCCTCGCATTTGCACTCATGCGCTTGTTTAACCTTTGAATTTGTATCGGCTCACATAATTGTATATATAGTTGGTGGATCTGGTTACGGATTTGCCTGTCACTGTGGTCTCCATAGCACAGCCACAGGATGCCTGCGCCTACAGAGGGACATGGGTGGCTTGCGCTGCACTATCCAAAGCTCCAACCTCACGCCCCATATCCAGTGTAAACCCGAAGGAATAAAACCGGGAGGCATGCGGATGGGAGCCACGTTTCATCAACGGAGCCGGCCCACACTCCTTCACAGGCAAACACAAGCACGCTGTATCTAGTGAATCAAACATATACAAGGCGGTGGCTGGACCGTAGTCCGCTCCACACTGAGTGCTTGGAACCGCTCTTCGAGCCTAGCACGGACACAAGGACCGTGCATCTCGTCCCGTCCAGCAACGATCAACTGTCTCCCAGAGTCAGTATGGACGAGGTAGTGGGTAATAGACAGGTAGGCACCTTGTCAGCATACAGCTCAAGCGCAACCACACCGGGGATATCAATCAACAACCAGTCCCCGAAATGCACGAACTTAACGTCGCGGGCACACGTACAGACTAACTGCAACGACCTTGCGGCACAGGTACCACATCATCTCCTAATTGGCCTGGGTTAGTAAGTCGAATGGAAGTGGGCACAACGCAACTACCAATCGCTGCACTGATTATGCTTATATAATCAGTCGGCTCGTCGCCTTTCGTATCCTGGCAATGCTGATGGCTCACCAAACCTGCTTGGCTCAAGCACTCACGACCGCATGTGTTACAGCATCATGCGCTCGGCGTATATGTGGTTGACTCCATCCGCGCCTTTAGCTTCCATACCCGGCGTTTCTCTTTCGCATGCAATACTACCTCCTCGTGCACCTGGGCAACCGCCCTCTTGATCAGCTCACGCCATTTGCGCCGATCAACTGCCTTTGATTCCCAACATCTGAAATCAACATTAGTTCGTGATAAACTCACCTTGATCATGTCCTGGTAATGTAACTTCGGTTTCCCAAGGTGCCGCTTCCCTGCGTTAACTTGTTCATATAAGAGCTGCATGGGTATTCGCGTCGAATCCATGCGGCTGATATGCCCCAGCCACTTCACGTGCCACTGCAGAACTACGCAGTCCACTACATACATGCCATCGCAGCGGAGCAGCTCTGTCACCCCAGCCGATGCACAGAATACGGTGTAAGCGATGTTGATGTAAGCGTTTTAACAGACATCTTTTCGGCACAGCGTCCGCGTTTTGCTGCCGTACAGAAGCGCGGACAACATCATCGGCCGGTATATATTCGTCTTCGTCCCTACCGCAAGCTGGGGATTCCTCCACACACGGTATTCCATTTCGTCAACTGCAGTAGCCGCCTTCGATGCGCGGATGTGAAACTCGCTCGTCATCTGCCGGCCGGTTGATATTACTCTCCGAAGGTATGAAGTTTTCGATGCTGTCTCTAACACGTCATGAGCGGTCTGGATTTGGGGCAAGCCCACGGACTACTTTTCGGGTGAAGATTGGAAAAGACAGTCTTGCTTGTGTTTATTATGAGCCCGAATTTGGTCGCTGTCGAAGCCAAAGCACTAGTGATGTGCTACAACTCATCCGCGCTGTGTGCAAACAACGCACATTCGTCAGCGAATAGCAGCATACGGGTAGTTGTCTCACAGACTAGGGTTCTTGCACTGAAACAACGGATGTTCAACAACCTAACATCAACACGGTGCTCTACACAGACACCGTAATCACACGCAGCATCAAAAGTACATCATTACTTGAAAGCAACTATTAAACAGAACAGGGGCTAAGACAGCGTTGCTTCATAACAGGGACAACAGCAAAGTCGTCCGAGGTTTGTCCACTCAACTGCACCATCGCCCGCACACCACTGTGCAGACATTTAATTAAACTTACAAACTTACTCGGAAAACCAAACTTACTCAACACCAGCCACAGTGCCTTGCGGTTCACCGTATCAAATGCTTTGGTGAAGTCAGTAAACCTCGAGTACAGTGGCGGGTGTCGCTCTCTACACTTCTCCTGCAACTGAGAAGCCGCCAACGGAATCCACGTTCGGTACAACGACCTGTGTGACGATGTGCTTGAGCAGGATTTGGGCGATCAGTTTTTCCCCACAAGTGTCGCCAAGTGGAAGGCTGACCACCACGCGGTTGCCTCCAGCCAGGTCCTTGACCAGCGAATAGGGCGCGACGCGGTAGACGCTCAAGTGCCATGCGTAGGACGTGACCGGGCCATCTTAACTGGCGCAACAAAACCCGTTTTTTGAAGGGAATACTCGCATTTCCCAAGATGCGACGTCGAACGTCATTACTATTAACTCGATGTTGCAACCAAACACGAGCGATCCTGCTTAAGCAACCGTTATCGAATGCAGAAAGACGACATATGTCTTCCATGCGCATCGGCCATAAAACATTACTGAGCGAACAAATGCGCTGTTAACGCGGTCCTTTAGTGAGAATGAGACGTCGCGACGACGCCACAAATGCCTCAAATTGGCAAATACTGATCCAGCTTTAGCGATGCGAAGAGAAATTTCTTTGTTGATAGTGCCGTCAGCGGAAACATAGCTCCAATGTAGACGAAACTATCTACCTGTTCAACTTGTGCACCTTCAAAAATGAGCACGGGAGCAGGGGAAAGCCAATTCTTGAGCATTACTTTACACTTCGATGGGGCGAAGCTCATGCCATACTTAGATGCTTCAACCACCAAACGATCCAGAATGAGTTGCATACTCTGAGGATCGTCACCAAGTAAGGCGATATCATCAGCATAATCTAAGTCGGTCGCGCGGTCATCCGGTAGAAGCTGCAGCTTAAAATGTTCTAAACCTAAAGCACTCAACAGAACGACTTCGATTGCGAAGTTGAAGAAGAATAGAGACATAGAGTAGTCCGGTCGCACACCGCTACGGACAGCGAATTGCGAGGAAAGGTTGCCAAAGGCCCTCACTCTGCTGGAGGTATGAAGGTGAAGTACTCGTAAGATGGCGGTATATTTCTCTGGCACCCCGTTCTTTAGCAAGCAACGCCATAAAACAGGTCGATCAACGGAGTCAACAACGGCACGTATGTCTAGGAATGCAACGATAGTGGGCCTGTGATAAATGTGACGATGTTGGAAGAGCTGGCGCAGCGTGCAGATTTGATCCACTCATCTGCGGCCGGGACGGAAACCAGCTTGTTCTTCACGGTAGTATGATTCACGTACTGGGGATAGTCTGCGAAGCAGAATGGATGCCAATAGCTTAGGGGCAACCGAAATAAGACTAATCCCGCGATGATTTGCACATGAAGTGCGAGCGACTTTCTTGCAAATCAGGACAATAACCGATTCGCCCCAAGAGGAAGGCACTTCCTCTTCATGCCAAATTTTTGCGAACAGCTAAGTCAGCTGGTTGTTGATCGCCTCGCCGCCGTACTTGAACAGCTCTGGAGGAAGTCCGTCTGAGCCGACAGCCTTGAAGCGCTTCAAGCGTCGAATCTCGAGACAGACTTCCGCTTTGTCGGATGGATTCAGTGGGACTAGCCAGAGTGGACAATAAGGTGTACTGCAAGTACTGATGGATGGTGGAGGCCAGTTGAACTGCGAGTGAACGTTTTAGGCCCAGCGGTCCATACGCCTCTGTTGGTTGGTGATCGGAGACTCATGCACCTCACAAATGACCTCACTGACACCAGGCTTCCTGAGGCCAGTGGGCCGAATGAGTTGGAAAAGCTTGCGAGTGTTGCCAGAGAGGGTAGCGGTGTCCATCTCTAAAGCACGCTCAGAGCACCATGTCTCGCGATCCTTGCTTAAGCTTTGCTTGAGCAGGCGGTTTGCAGAACGGCGCCGCTCGTTGCAACCTGATTCCGCGGGGATATCTTTGTGGTGTTCGAACAGCTCCAGAGAACGAGCAGAGATCTAAGCCTTCAAGGGGCGTCGAGTTAGGCAGCAGCTTGACTATTCGGAAGTGGTCATCAGTTTCTGTATGCAAGTTCAGTGTTGATCCACGTCTTGCGGTGGATTGCAACTGAGTGCATATGCCAGTGAAGACTGATAGCTCGCCTGGAGAGAGGAATCAGGAACGAGGATCGGGGACGAAAGAGAGCCATAGTTTGAACTCCTTGGTCTGCGGCGCAACCGGAATCGCAGCCAGATTGTTGAACACGTGAATCGGGTAACGGAAAGTGAGCATTGTTAGCAAACAAACAATTGGCGTGTGATGAAGTCGCGTGAAAGTGACTAGTAGAAACAGTAGCTGATGAGCACGTTATACTGCAGTCCATGGCTTTGTGAGAGGCGTGATACTACCCGGTTGCCCAAGCTGAGGTAGGGAGTTGACTTAGGGGACCCTACTCCGAGCTTTTGGCTATATAACCTACCCGCAGGGCAGCGGGGCGAATGCCAAGAATCATGCCCATTGGGAGTCGCTGACTTAATGTTCAGTTCATGCGTCTTTCATTTGATCGATCATCAAACAGGGGCCCAGTGCTGCCCATGAAATCCGCACAGTTGCTGGA